GCTCCCCAGGGTTCATAATGGGATATCAAAACCTTACTGGTTGCTATAGTAACTGTAGCAAGAAGCAAGCAAGCGTGTTTGTGGATGAAAAATTGTCTTCCTTCTTTCTAAATGTGGGAGACAAGTTACATGCCTGTGATAGCAATCTAGTCCATCAGCTCGTGGAACAAATTGGAAGTCTAAACACTCGAAATGCCATTGAGGTTGAGAGTCGGACCAGCTTCCCAGAATCTCACTGTCCGTTTGTGGACACAAGGGAGAGGGATTTTGTTGACACCTTTTGCCTCCTACTCCTGATGGCTTTTGTAAGTTAAAGGGCCAATGCAGGCACAGCTGCTACTTTTAGCATCACAAGCCTGATTTGCGGGGACCCACTATGTTAATAGGTCCACTTTCCAGATTGTCTAACAAGCAAAAGCGGTATATGATGTAAAAGACACGTTTAACTGCTTTAAAACCTCTGTTTAGGAAAATGTTGTGTCTTAACTTCTCAAGTAAGATCTCAGAGCAGATGAATCTGCGGTATGTCAGGTATTCTCTAAAGGTAAAGTCACCAATGAGATTTCTGTTTAACCTTCAATACCTGTTTGCTGTTGCAGGCCTATTATGCAATATTCCTCAACAAGGGCCGTCTGGAAGTGCATCTCTCCACGGGGACACGAACAATGAGGAAAATTGTCGTCAAACCAGAGCCGAGTCTGTTTCATGATGGGAGAGAACATTCGGTTCATGTAGAGAGAACCAGAGGGTAATAGCAGCACTGGAGTACTTATTGTTATAACTCACACAGACTTCCTTTGCTAGCCTCAGTCTCTCCCTGACCCTCTGTGTGTGGACATCCTTATGCACTACAGAACGATAAGGCAGCTTAATTTCCTCCTCTCTTCATTTCATACTCCGGGGATGTCAGTTGCCTGAGCCCTTCAGAGTTCTGCTGTTAACATTTGTATTCTGTGCAGTTCTCTCCACCTTTGGAAAAACCAAATGCATCCTCAGAAGCTATAGATAAGAAAAATCCCTCCCTCCGCCCCTCTTAAATATTCACTTTTCAAAGAAGGTTTGCACACAGTGAAACGCACGGAATTACCCAGCTGGAGCCAGCAGACTTTGGCAGCTGCCATTTCATTCAGGTTCCAAAGCAGTTAACGGCAGCTGCTTCAAAACCTGTCACCCATACAGAGTGTGGCAGCAGCTGTAGGACCTACTGAGCCTGTTAAGTGCGGGCCTTATCCCTGTCCCCCTGCCCAAGGTGTACGAGATCCCTGCAGAGTGGCTTCTTGAGGGAACAGAGTCAAGGGAGAGAAGGAAAATGGCTGCCCTAACATCAGCGCACAGAGGCTGCCTCTCTACAAATCCACCAGTGCGCTAACCCCCAACCCTGAGCCAGGGAATCGGCCTTAGTAAGGCACAAACTGATTTCTCATTTCTTTAGAATGCAGCAATGCTTTATACTTACTTTATTGGGAAAGTCATCCATATTTTTCATCAAAATGTTGTATGACAACTCAGAGAGGTAATTAGCTTAGAAGAACAATTAGAGAAAGAAAACAGAAGCCCGGAGACTTCAGGGCCTCCGACCTCCAAGCCAGAAATCCATTTGTTACAATGAAGACATAGAAGAGAACTGAAAATCAAATTTGATGAACACAGAGGATACTTTTAAATGCAATGAGTATGTGTAGCAACAGTTCAAGTCAGCAGATGCTATTCTGTACTAAAGGCCTATATTTTCCAATTACCCTAGTGTGGATAACGGTTAGATAAGTAACAAAGATTTCTTACCTTCTAAGTAAAGAATAAAGCTTTCATCAGATCATTTTTAAATTATTGTATAGAGCATTAGATTGTGGGATGAATTGATACCAAGCAGTCATGCAGAATGTCTACTAACTGAGGTGTGTGGAAACCACCATTAAGACAAATGAGGGATCCTTAGTGGAACAAACTGAGAACTTTTACAGATCTGTTAGCCAGATATTGTGATCGTGGTCTCTGAGGAGAAATGCGGACCGTGTTTTCTCATTTGAATCTCAGAAAATGCTTTGGAATACTGGTTTTACATATCTGCTAGACTAGATTTGGGGCCCTTTGCCAAACATGAATCCTTTTCGTTGTGGAGAGAATTTTTTTAAAAGAATGTAAATGTAAAAGACTCTCAATAAGATCATGCAGATCTGAGAAACACAGTTGACCAAAAATCACCCAAAACATGTCATTTTGTGGAGAAAGAATTCTGAATTCCCGAATGTATTACTATATTGTACTAAGGTGTCCTTTTAACAGGTGTTTCTTCAAGAAGGGCATTTTATTATGCCAACTTCACAGCTGTTGACCATCAATCCTACCTTTATTTGATTAAGCTCAGTGTATAGTACATCAGTGAAAACTGGTCATTCAGTTAATTGGCCATATAAACAAACAGTTTTGCCATTCACTGTTAATTACAGGATAATGTATTGGACATATTAGTGTGTAGTCACTGAACTCTTTGCCAAAACAAGAACCCATTTACTGCCATAATGTCTCATCCAGCATTCTAAGGTCAAAATGCAATCACTGTCTACCTATAAGCAAGTGTTACACTAAACGGATTAGCCAGAGATAACAAATGACCCTAAGAACTTCACCCAGAATCATTTTTAATGCTTTATATGCCTCTTCAGTGGTATGATCTATGTGAAATACTAGATAAAGGTTATGTCTTTTAGTCCTTCTAAATGTATGTGAGCTCTGTATTAATTTCCTTTTATCATAGATGAGAAATATAAAATAACTTGCCAACAATTGCATATTATAAATAACAACACCAAGTTTTAAACCCAGGTATATTTGACTTAGATACTTCTATCTATGCTCAGCCAACTATTTATCCTAGCCCTTTTTTGTGGCCTTAAAGATTCCCATTACTTCATTGCTGATTATGATAGACTATTACTAATGTGGAAATATTTGTTATCTTTCAACACTTTTCAGACTAGACATGCCAATCATCACTCCCTTCCCTAAAACACTCTATAAGAGAATAACTTTAATATCGCCTTGCAAAATCATTGGGTTTTTCCCAAATGGGGGGCCAAACTTCACAAAAATGCTCCTTCTCTCTCATCCTCTGCCTCTTTTCCTCTCCTCTCTCATTCTCTCTCCTTTTCTTCCCGTTCCTCTGGAAAAATCAAATTTCTCTGTACTCCCGTGCCCGCTGCTCTATCTACTTTGCTGTCTTACCCTTCTCCGGGAGTCTACCTCAGTGGCCAACTGTTCTAACTGGACAAAAACACAAAACCCTAAGAGCCTGAAATAGCTACCTAGGCAAATAGGATAAGCCACTGAGCTGAGTGTCTCTTCTGTAGAAGCTTTCTTCGCACTGGTACAAAAGTTAGGCTGAAGAGCATGAGCCAGGATAAGATATTTCAGGAGTAGTTTGGGTTTTCAGAATGAGATCATGATCATGAGATCATGATTCAGACATTGCAATCCAAGTGGGTTTTTTTGACCCTCCAAAATATGTTTAAACAAACAAAAAAAATAGATTTTATTTTTATGTAAATTACAAATGTTAGGGCACTTACTTTTCTTAAAAACATATTTCATATATGCAACCCAATTGGTAGTGTCTTGAAAAAAATCTTAGGCCAATACTTCAAATAAACAAGAAATAGAATTGAAGTAATAACATAATTTTGAAGCTCTCAGAATCAGCCATTGACATTGTAAAAAAAAAATACAACTGACCTATTGCAATTAATACAATGATTAATATAGTCTTGTATACATAGTAGTCCCTCAGCAAAAAAAAAAAAAAAGTTGTTAAATAAACACTTTAAAAAACAGAAAATGCAGCAGAATCATAATGGACATGTCAGTCATGTTTTTCTCTACAAAAGAACCAAATATATGATCTAGAATATAAGCAGTATCCAGCTGTTGTTTTCTAGCAATGCCCTTATTAAGTAATATAACTTCAGGGCAATCCCTTAATTAATGTTTTCCACTGTTTGAAGTAGATATTTTTATCTCCATCTTATAAATGAATGAAATGAAACTGAGCCTGATTAAATAACTTGCCCAAGGTCACACAGCTAGTGTGCTTCCGCACTAGTCCTTAATTCCAGTCTGTTCCTTCTGAAAGCTTGTGTTCATTCTACAACAGTCCTATGACCTAGTAAAATAAGGATCACTATTGTGGTCCTCAGGGCAGAGCTAGACTAAAGGGAGAGTCTACAATGAAGTCTTATGGCCCTTTAAAATTGCTATCAAGCACAGAGAACTACCCTCCTTGGACAATCTTTGATAGTGACTTAACCTCTCATTAAAACCCTTAGGAGTACTGTTACGTCATGTTAGTAAGAGGCTGTTTTTAGCCAAACGTAAAAAAGATATGAGGGGAGGGACTTCTCCATAAGTCACACACACCCGGAAGTAAGTGGTTAAGTCTCATAAAACCACCAACACTCTTAGCAAGGAAGCTGAACCTTCTGGTTTTTGCCGACACATTTTTCTAGAGTCTGGTAATGGGGGAAAAAAAAAAGCAAACCAGTGTGTCATTTCCCCCTATTTTCCCTTTAAAACTAAATCTGACTTGTCCCTCTATACCCCCTGCACTGCACGGTGTGACATTTTGAGCCATAGTGAAACCCATTTTTTGTTCCGTTCTCTTACTTTGAATCATTCCAAAGTGGACCGATTACTCAGTGCCAATTCAGAGCATCCTTGCCCTGGCTGACTGTTTCCAGTTACACATGTACTTTTTCTTCACGATAAAAACAAGATGGTGCTTTAGGAACAAGTTTTCCCCCAGATATGAAGTAAGTTTTCAATAATCCATCCATGATCCTCGGACTAGTGACTGATACTTATGACTAATAGCACCAGGATGACTACTGGGACAGAAACTCAAAACCTGCTTCTAGAACAAAAGAGAAAAATTCCTTTGGTCATTTTCCTCCTCAGAACTTTTTGTCTCCTTTTGATTCTTGGCCCCAGGATCCAAGGATTGTTGTGAATAAGTAGCGTGAGGTTCTCAATTAGCAGTGTGTGAGTTATCTCTCATAAGCGAATTAGGGAAATTAATGAAACAGCCACTCAGGAAGATCATTGCAAGGAACAATTAGCAGGGTGTTTTTGCCTGCCTCTTCTATTCAAAAGCCAGCAGCTACATTCTTTATAAAATGTGCTCTGTAAGTGGTTGCTGTTCATTCCTGCAATGTAAGCTCTCAGGAGTACAGTCTGTCCCCTAGCAAGAAGATAACAGCTGGCACAAACCAAGAAAGGCCCCATGCTGTGCTAAACCCACTGATTCTCATGTGATTAGACATGACTACAGAGTATAGAAGGCTCCGTTTTCACAGGGTCGTGTGCTGGGCTGCAAACCACTGGTCACCCCCACCAGAGGCTAACGTGGCTGCCACACCATTGCCTGGTTTCAGTGAACATTCGGGGTGAGAAAACCAGAGCGGCATGGGACAAGACCCTGAAAAACAATAACCCTTGCTTAGTGTAGAATTCCAAAGGGCTCACTTAAAAGCTTCGGGTGGGAGGGATGAGGGGCGGCGGAACCAGTTTGATTTCCAACCGCACTGAACGTGTTGTGATGCATACCTGTTTATTTTCAATATTGTGTCAGCATCTTTACCGTTCAAGTTGATGAAGACAAAAGACATATGCAAAACCTGACCGTTGAACAGGCCATCGAGGTTAAAAGGCTTTTCATCGGGGGCGCTCCACCTGAATTTCAACCCGCCCCACTCAGAAATATTCCTCCTTTTGAAGGCTGCGTCTGGAATCTTGTGATTAACTCTGTGTAAGTGAATCTTGCTGCAGTTACTAAATAACTTGGGGGGTATGGGGATCACCAATGCGTCTACACTGCCCAGAACTGTAGGGCGAAAGAACAAGGAAGATCTTCAGATAAGGTTTAGAAAATTGCGCTAATGACCTTTAAAAGGTGTGCTTGAGGGAGGTGGGGGGGGGGGGGTTCTGATTTAGTTGTAAGGGAGCAAGAAA